CCATGGACACAATGAAACTCCATTTCAAATTTGGTGAAAATCCATCAACAGCAGGTAAAGTAGTGGTAAAAATACGCAAGTGTAAAATTGCCCATAAAAAACACAAAACTGAAAATTTGTATGTCTTATTCCATGGGCCCAGTGAACTTCCATACCAAATTTGCTGAAGATCCATCAACAGCAGGTAAAATAGTGGTAAAAATACGTAAGTGTAAAATTGCCCATAAAAACCACAAAACTGAAAATTTGTATGTATCTTTCCATGGACACAATGAAACTCCATACCAAATTTGGTGAATATCCATCCACACGAGGTGAGGTAGTGGTAAAAAAATGCAAAACCACAAAACACAAAACTGGAAATCTGTACATACCCCATATGGACCTTAGAAATATTCATATCAATTTTGGCGAAGATCCATACAGTACTATTAGGTCGTCAAGAAATTAATGTCACGTTTTGGAACACTTTCTTTAAACACCCCCCCAAAAAAATTTACATCATATATAATAGTTAGATGAATCACATAAACATCATGTTAGTGTAGCCTACATAATGTATAAAGTTTAGTATACTCTAATCCTTTATAGTGATGGCATATGATGAGACACACATTCAGCATGTAATGCTGTTTGAATATAAGAAGGGAAACAATGCCTCTGTAGCCACAAAGAATATCAAAGAAGTTTATGGAAATGTTTTGAATGTTCTTAAGTATCAACGATGGTTCAGCAAATTTCGTTCTGGTGACTTTAACCTCAGAAACTGTGATGGCAGGGAACGACATGTTGGAATTGATATTGGTGCTCTGAAGACACTTGTTGAGTCTAGCCCAAGGCAACACACTTGTGAAATGGCCCTGAAATTGCATGTCTCTCTCCAAATAATGCATAAACATCTAAGAAATATGGGAAAACTCCATAAAGAAGGTGTTTGGGTGCCTCACCAACTCTCCGATGATCATCGTTTCCAACGTGTGAATGTTGCTTCGTCTCTTCTGGTGCGTAATGTGTGTGAACCATTTTTGGACAGAATTGTCACTGCTGATGAAAAATGGATTCTCTATGCGAATATTAAATGCCAAAAACAATGGCTCAGTCCTAGACAAATACCACTTATGACCCCAAAGCCTGGACTCCATCCACAGAAAGTGATGCTTTGCATTTGTTGGGACATCAAAGGAGTAATTCATTTCGAACTCCTCAATCCACAGCGAACTGTCAATGCAGACATCTATAGTCAGCAACTGGAACATTTAAATCCAGCACTTCATCAAGAAACGCCCTTCACTCGTCAATCGGGAAGGTGTTCTTCTTCTCCAGGACAATGCACGTCCACATGTGGCACGTTTTACGCAACACAAGATTATGCAGTTGAGTTCGGGAAGTTTTTCCCCACCCACCATATTCTCTAGATATGGCACCATGAGATTACCATCTTTTTCGTTCGCTGCAACACGATCTTAATGGGAAAACGTATGCAAATGTGGAAGGTGTTAAAGAGGCCATCTACACGTTCTTTTGCTTCAAAACCAAGTAATTTCTTTAATCAGGGCATTAACAACCTGATTGTAAGATGAAAAAAGCATCATCGATAAGAACTGAGACTATTTCATTTAATAAATGTTTTGTTTTGGTATATAAATTGTTCGGGTTTTTTCATAAAAAAAGGGATATTAATTTCTTGACGACCTAATATTTGACTAATTAAATTCCCAGCTGGATAGAATGGTGGTGATTAAGCGGAAAGTCAAATAGTCTCAATCTATGTTGTTGTTTTTTTGTTTAGAATGAAAAAAGTGTGTGTGTGAACATATAAACATTACATTAAGCAGTTATCCACACCTAAAGCTGTATAAAGCTTCATTCTGTGATGATCTAACAGGGAATTCTAAACAGAATAGGTGTACATAACGGGTACATTAGTTGAAAATGTGATAATTGAACGTATATTTTAGAATGAGGCAGGCAATTTTAAGAATTATCACTGAAATCCTTTTCATAATGTGATCCGCTCGGTTGAGAACAAAAGCCACAAATATTTGTTCAGAAAAGAAATCACTATTCACAACCACGACACATTAAATGACTAAAAATGTCATTAACATCGAGTATTCTAATAGCATTTTGTTCGCTTGATCCTACAAATTATGAAGAACTTACATTAAATGTTATTTTGGATTAGTCATTTATACACATTAAACATGCTGCATATAAACCTTACAATTAATACCTGAAAAACAACGGATCTCGTTTAAACAACTACAGTATCTATTTGTTGATAAAGTAAATAGCCTAAATTTGCAGTACAGATTATATTAAGCGTACGCATTTGATATAATTAACTACCTAACATTATACTGGAATTGATGTTATGATGTGTTATGATGATCATGTAATATATGATTGCAGTGTGAGCAATTATTATTACTTAAATAACACTGTGATTTGGGTTGAAATGTTGTCTCATGAACATCATTTATTTTTTATGAAGCAATTTACATTTTTAGAGAAATATTCACGTTAAAAATTTCAATTGTAAAAGTGCTTATCTGTCTTAATAGTTAAGAAATGTTAAATATAACTAAACGAGATTATTTTTCTCCATTAGGTTTTTCTTCTCTTTCTCTTCCTTAAAGAGATTACGGCTATTCAAAATGAGAACATCAACATCAGCAAACTGTCACTTTATCTTGATCAGACGAATGTTCCAACATCTTTAAAAACTGAAATTGGGAGAAGATTGTCGTTACCAAAAATCTACAATGTAGAAAAAGTGATGACAGGACTTGAAGTCTTCATGAGAAATCTACCTTATAAATTCATTTACCCTCAACTAGTTAAAAATTTGGAAGGGCGCTCAAAGATTAATGGCACACCTATTCCAACAAGTCCATCTGCATCTGGACTGGAGACGTCTATTTCACCAGCAAGTTATGGTAAAGCCCCTGTTATAATTCATGACGGGCGTACTAAAGCTTCGGACGTTTTACAGACAACACCTGCTGAAAAGTATGAAACAGCAGCTGAGTCTACAAATATAGGACTCATATTACCGCCAGATATTTTTTCACATTTTATAATTGGCAATGGAAACGACAAAACTGCAGCAACACCGCAACTATATTATGTTCCCTCGCCTGTTCCCCTAAACACACAGAGAGGACCCAGAGCAGGATATTCTCCTGGTTACGTCACATCTGCAGCGAACAATCCGTCAAGTTTAGGTTATGGTCTTCAAAGATATGGGATTCCAAACAACAAACGTTCAACCAGAAATAAACAACATATTATCCCCCGAATTCCTAGACCAACCAAAAAGCAGAAAAAGTTTAGACCACCTCCACCTCCATCTAGCTCTTATGACCCAAAAAAAGATAGCCCCTCCAC